CCGAAGAAAAAGAAACTTTTTAATGATGGACGAAACTATACATGGTTTTAACTGTGCCTAGAAGAGGATGTGTCCTTGAATTTCGTTTGTAACTTCATTCGCCTGATAGAGGTTCTTATACAATGAATCGTCAACCTAGCTCCTCACAGCCGTCACAGAAACCGCCAAGAATGAACGCAAATCAGCCAGGAGGGCCGACAAATGCCGACTTGGCGAGTATATTTGAATGTCCTGTATGTTTTGATTATGTTCTTCCCCCAATTCTTCAATGCAGTAGTGGTCATTTGGTTTGCTCGAACTGCCGCCCGAAATTAACATGCTGCCCAACATGTCGTGGACCCTTGGGCAGTATCCGAAATCTGGCGATGGAAAAAGTAGCTAATACGGTGTCTTTTCCTTGCAAGTATGCTTCAGCCGGTTGCGAAGTGAACTTGCCACACACTGAAAAACCAGAACACGAAGAATCCTGCGAATTTCGACCTTATTCTTGTCCTTGCCCCGGGGCTTCTTGTAAATGGCAAGGATCACTGGACTCGGTGATGCCTCACCTTATGCACGCGCATAAATCTATCACAACTCTTCAAGGAGAAGACATTGTTTTTCTGGCGACTGATATAAACCTTCCCGGAGCTGTGGACTGGGTCATGATGCAATCTTGCTTTGGTCATCATTTCATGCTAGTGCTGGAAAAGCAAGAGAAAATCGAAGGACTTCAACAGTTTTATGCCATTGTTCAGTTAATTGGGACACGTAAACAAGCAGAAAATTTTGTGTATCGACTTGAATTGAATGGAAACCGACGACGTCTGGCCTGGGAGGCTACTCCGAGAAGTATCCACGAGGGAATTGCTTCGGCTATCTTAAACAGTGACTGCCTTGTGTTCGATACTAATATCGCTCACTTGTTTGCCGATAACGGAAATCTAGGAATCAATGTTACCATATCGATGGTCAGCTGAAACTTGTTGATGCTGTCCTTTTCAGTCTGAACAATGTAAATCAATTCTCCCTACCGTTTTTGTGTACTTGTTATATTCCTACACAGAGAGAATTTTGTTTTCTCTCTGCATTTGGACTTTCACTCAAGAAAAAAAAATTGACTCGATGTCTTGTGGGATTTTAAAAGCTAGGGCTTTCAGTACACCTGTAAGTAAGTACTTCATTACATTATTTAGAAATTATAATAAGTATTTCTAATATTTTAATTTTGTTTCTTACCACAAGGTCTTTAGTTTTGTTTATTTCTCTATTAGTAGGGAACTATAATAGCTTTTTTCAAATGCTTGTGTACATGTATGTCAGAAAACATACTGTCCTGACCATATTTTACTTCTCATAAAACTGGCTTACAAGGAGGATTGTCCGTGAAGTCCTCCATGCTGAAGGAAACATGGATTCCAATTTTGCTTCTGTCATCCACCAGGCAAGTTGCTGTGTTATTAAACTTGTCAGAAGTATTTTATAGTTAGATTTGATACACAGGTGACCTGACAGCTGCTTTTATGGATCCCTGTATTTATTATTCAGTCAGATATTTTGGAAAACACTGCATTGTAAACAAAATTTTAACCTTTGAAAATGGTAAATGTCGTGAGCATGACTTCTGTCGTGTCACTGCAGATAAAATTCACAAATTTCTAAAGCAGTTTACACAATCTAGACCTAGTGAAAATAAAAAATCATCATTGGCCTTATCTTTTTTCCCCCTAGGGTGAACATCAGTTTTTCCCAAATCATTAAATAAAAACTCTCTGTCTGTGTGCAATACTGTATTCATGTGACTAAGCACCGCCCCAATTATTAGCGCTGCTGAATTTAATCAGGCTTCATGTAACTAGACTTCAACACAAGATGCAACTTACAGCAATGAAGATTGACATATGCCAAGTGTATTTATAACTTGAAATCAAGTTTTAATCACAATTAAGTCATATTATGATTTGTGAAAGAAAAAAGTAAAGTATTTTGGTGCTCAGTATTTCTCGATGTGAAGTAGTCCTCAGTTTCTGTTATTTATTTCCAACCTTTAAGCTGATTCATTCTTCTCAATGCTTAACCTACAGTACAAACCATTTTCAACGACTGACTCTGGAAAGCTGG